TAGTTTCCTCTCTTTTAAAGGGGGAAAGAGACAGCAGACATAAAAAAAAAAAAAAAAAGAAGAAGAAGAGATAAGCCTCTCAATTTTTCTCCCTTCTGTAGATCCGCAACCGCCACCATCACCTTTGACCTTCACCATCCTCTTGCTAGCTGATCGTCACTCTCATCACCACCACCCTTACCAATCACCAAGAAGACGAAGTAGATCTAGCCGCAAGCCCCTTTAGGGACTCTGATCTTGACAATCTTCTTGCGTTTCATCATCATCACTGCCTCCACCTTCATCACCGGTAAGTAGAGGGGTTCGGCAACCACTAGAAAGGGAGGATCTTTCTTCTCCAAAAAAATCTCAAGTGGTTGTCAACACTACCGGTAGATCAAAATACCGATCGATACACCGAAATTTGACCTAAACTAGCGAAATTTGACCAAAACGAAATTAAACTTTATATCGTTTTGGCGTAATGAAAAATCCAATACGTATCGGCCACACCGGCCGGTACAAAATGGAATCAACTACACTAATATTTACACTTGAAAATAAAAAATCAATGAATGAATGTCATGTGTTTAATTGGGCCCAACCATTGGTCTGATGGGACAATGATATCGGGACAACTCTTTGTATAATTTTTTTATTCAACTTTTACGTGTCATTAAATGAATGGATACATTTAATATCATAAGTCTCAAATGAATAAAAAGAGCCAATCATTTAAATGATACATAAGATTGTATAAAAAAGTGGTATAAAAAGATTTTCACGAAATCATTTTTTGGTCTGATGTGTGCCACATCAACAAGCTTAGGTGTTGATCTAGAGCAATTCTGCTGCAATTTACAATCCAAACTGCAGATGACATGGAAGGTAGGTGGAATTTGGATGATGCATATCTTTTTCATTTAATTGAGTTTTATTTAAATTAAGAAATTAGGAGGAATTATGGGAATAGATCACATTAGGTTTTATTGGAGTTAGATTAATTTGGAATCAAACAATTAGCCACCAGTCATGGGTAAACAGCAGTTAGACATGGTGCAACTACTAGCAGACGATTACAGATAAAGGATCGAAAATCATGGGAAACAACTACAACATTGAAGTAAAAGAAAACAATGGAGAAAAAAATTAGTTTTCTCAAGCCTACCCCTCTCCAAAATTACGCAGTGTGCTACAATTTCAATTCCAAATTAGATCAACTAACAATTAACATAGATTTCTAGCTTAAATTTCGAAGACCTACTTTTATTCATAGCTTTAGTTTTAATTTTCTGTTTTACTTGAGATATGAAATATTTGAAATTTGAAAGCAAACCAGCCTTGTTGTTCAAGTCTACCCCATTAATTTGGTTAGTACTCCTTTAATTGTTCTTTTAATAATTGGGTTGAATTTTTGCTTTCTTCATGCCCTCGTTCATGCTAAAATTTGTAATATATAAACTTTTTTCTCTTATTTTTGAAATAGGTTCAGTTTGCTAAATTTCCAAATTTTAGGTTAGAACTTTGAATTAGTAATTTCTCTATTTTAATATTGATAAGTTGAAATTTCATTGATATTAATGTGGAATTTTTGCCTTGATATATATTATTGATAATTGGATGACTTTTATGAGATTTTACTTGCTTTGAAATAATTTTCATTCTTTATATAGAAAATGACTTAATTGGATGAAATCATAACTTTTAGGACCAAACCGCAGAGACCAATCAGCTGAGGATTAAAGTGCGTAGAAACTAGGAGTTAGGGAGTAGTACTGTCATTTTGCCTTTAAAGAAAATTGCCTAAAAGGCCAAAAACCCCCAAAACGGACTCTTTCTTCATGGATACAGTGAACCTTCCTTTAGGGTGTCCAGACCATGGGCGATTTCTAGCAACTTGACGACAAGTCCTTGTTATTTTGACGTCTTCTCACGATCTATTTTAATTAGATTTTTTTTTTAAATTTTATAAATACTCATTCAAAATTAAAATTTAGAGAGTTTTTGGGAGGCTTTTGGTAATCCTTCTTGAGGCACACTAGGAGATCAAGATAGATGAAGTAATAAGAAATTTATCAATGATAAAAAATTAAAGAGTTTAACTTTCTTAAATTTAATTTAGCTTTTCTTTAGATTATTTTCCACTAAAAAGGAGAGGTTCCTCGAAGAAATTCTATTTTCTTAGTTTTTTTGACAAAGCAAGCGGTGTTTGCTAGATTTAGACTCACCCACCTAGGATTTTTGGGAAAACACTCTCTTTTATCCATGCAAAGGATCTCCTCAAAATCATGTCATAGATATGCTCCTCGTTCCAGTTTGCTGAATTGAAAAGAAAGAAATTTCTTGTAACCCGAATAAACCAACAGATAACAAGATAAAAGTTCTTTGCTTTTCTAGCAGATGACGAGAATCAAAGAGCTCTTTGCTTTTCTTGTCGTCGATGAGGTTTAGCATTTTGGGTGGTAAAACTTTCATGAAGCTGGCATCACTTTAAGTTCAAGTGACAAAAATTAATGCCGAGCTTCGGCGGCATAGGAAATTCCGTTCAGACTTCGGGCAACGGTATCAACAACGATGGAGCCAATAACTTTGGAACTGGTTCTGGAAGCCCAAACTATGTCAAAGGTTCTGGATCTAACCACGTCACTGGTGCAGAGGAGAAGAGATCCCGGGGAAAGAGAGGGTATGGCCTCTGGAAAAAATAAGACCTCGCCTTACACTTTATTTAGATCGAGGAAAGTTAAAGGGGAAAGAGAGGAGAGAGAGGAGAAGAAAAAACCTTCTTCTATCTGCATAAAAAATTTTAATAGAGGGGAAGAGATGGAGGAAAACAAAATTTCCTCGTTTTATTTGTTTTCAATCCCTTTCATTTGGAAAGATTTGAATAGATTATGTTATTTAATTTATTTTTATTTTTAATTATAGATATTTTTTATTTTAATTATTTATTTAATTAGTAAATTTTAAATATTTTATTTTATTTTTTATTAAATTATTTAATTAAATAAAAATATTATTCTTCCCCTTTTCATTTTTATTTATTCAAATAAAATTAACATCAATTCTTTTCTTCCTCTCACTCCTCTCCTCCCTTCCATTTTCTTTATTAATTTTTATCCAAACATAAAATTAGAGTTTTTTAGTTTTGTATTTTAAATGAAAATGTTGGGTTGGGTTATGTAAAATGGGTAAAGATTAGTTGTTTGAGTCATGAATTAAATGGGCCATGGACATAGTTGTGGACCCGCAAAGGCTTTTGGGTTCCTGTGCGCTTGAATTGACTGGCCGAGGCTATGCATGCAGAATACAATTTTGAATTTGGAACTAAGCTTGGGCCGGATCTGCATCTTATTTCCTCTCCTTTTCTTCTTTTTCCTCCATCGCTTTTTTTTCGTCCTTTTTTATTTTTCGTTAAACATTTTCTCTTTTTTCCTTTTCTCTCTTCTTTTTTTTTTCCGACCCTTTTTATTTTTCTTTTTCTTTTTCTCTCTTTTTTTTTTCTACTACCTTTTTCATTTTTCTTTCAACTTTTTTCCTTTTTCTTTTTCTTTTTCTTTCTTCGTTAGATCTTTTTCCATTCTCCCTTCCCTTTATTCAGTACTTCAACTTAATGCCTCATTTTATCCATGCAAAGGATCTCCTTAAAATCAGGCATAGATTTAGTACTCCTCGTCGGAGTTTGCTCTTTCTTCAGTATTTCAACTTAATGCCTTCTTTTATCCATGCAAAGGATCTCCTCAAAATCACGTCATAGATATGCTCCTCGTCCCAGTTTGCTGAATTGAAAAGAAAGGAGTTTCTTGTAACCCAAATAAACCACAGATAACAAAGAAAATAAAGTTCCTTGCTTTTCTTGCAGGTGATAAGAATCAAAGAGTTCTTTGCTTTTCTTGTCGTCAACGAGGTTTTGCATTTTGGGTGGTAAACTCTCATCGAAGTGAGAAAAATGTCAACCTCCGACGACGTAGGACATGGCGTTCGGGCTTCGGGCAACGTTATCAACAATAATGGAGCCAACAACTCTGGAATTGGTTCTGGAGGGCAAAACTATGGCCAAGGTTCTGCATCTAATTATGGCACAATTAACACCGGCAATAATCATGGCCAAGGTTCTGGATCTAATTATATCACAAGAAATACCGGCAATACGAACATTGGACCTGGTGCTGGAGGAATCAATTCTGGCATTGGTGCTGGAGGTATCAACTCTGGAATTTTCAATTCTGAAATTTTCAGTTCTGGAAGTAAGACCGCAGAGAAGAGCGATGGACGCGGGACTGAGTCTGCATCAATGAACACAGAGAATTCCCATGGTAAGAGAAAAATTAGTTCAGAATACTAAAAAAAAAAAAAAAAAAAAAAACACAATCAAGCAACTAATTTATTGTCCATAAATCCTTTTTCCTATCATGAGTTAGAATTAGCAGTGAAATTTAGATAGTTAGTAAAAGTCTTATAATTAATATTATTAGTGATAAATTTGACACTTGTTACAAAAAAATTTACAGTCACAAAAAAAATTTATATTATTAATAAGTTATTTGTAACAATTTTCTTCATCATTGAAAGCACGTTTTGTTACAAAATTTTCATCACAAAGATTGCAACTAAGTGAAAAAAAACACCACAAATATAATTGAGTATCTATGACAAAATATTTAGCCATCAATAATTTAAATCGATTTTGAAGCTGAAGGGATATTTATGAAATTACAATATATATATATATATATATATAGCAAAAGAAATTCAACACTGAAATAATTCATAATTAATATGAGCAGGTGCGAACGAAATTGTTCACAAAAAATACTTAATTAGTTATATATTATTTATTATAAACCATTTTAGTGACAAAAATTAAATTGTTAAAAAATATTCAAAATATAATATATATTGATAATGATTAATTATCATTAAAAAGACAATGATCAATTACAAATGTAAAGAATATAAAAAATTAAAAATATATTATTGAATCAATTACA